AGAGGATAACAGCTCTGCCCTGAATCCGACCCAGAATGAACATTCTCTTATACAGAAGGGATGCAGAGTCTATCCTTGGCTCACAACAGGTGCACAATGACAATTGTCTTTCTTCTCCTCCCTCTCTGGCCCACGACTCCAGGGAACTGCAGAAGCCATCCTTGCAGCTCACCCAAGCTGATGACTTTTTTTTTTTTTTAAACCAGTGCTCACTGCTAGCCTGGTTCTGTCGTAATCACCCACCCATCACTCATTACCTCAACAACTGAGTACTTTGTCTCCACACCTTGTTTCTGCTTGTTATGCTCCAGAGAGCAAGTGTCACAGCCCAGTAAGTGGCTAGGCACCTGCTCCACGGATGGACATGGCCTGCTTACTGTTACTGCTTTTCCAAGCCTGCTTCATGTTTGCTTCCTGCCTGGATCTAGCTGCTCTTTGAGTTATCCAATTAGATCACAAAGATCAACTCACTGAGATATGCTGTCTCCCTAGAGTAACTGCAGCAAAGACGCCCAAATCCATGTCCACCTTCTAGGGAACAGATGACATGGTCAGTATGATGGCTTTTCTTGGGATAGAAGGTGGGCCTGATGCCTGAGAGATGTACCCGGTCATCCCTGTGGCATGCTCTGTTATTTTAAAGCTGCCCTCCTCGCTTTACTCTGTGTTGAACTGCCACAGTTACCAACTTCCCAGCTTGTCTTGGATCTATTCCTCCAACCCCACACCAAGACCAGGAATGGATTCCAATTCAAGTCCAGATCTCTAGTTTTAATATTCTGTGGAAGAAACCCCAGACTTGGCATGACTACAACCGTATCAGAGAGGAGCATCCAGGGAAACAGCAATAAGACAATAGGAAAGTGTCCAGTACACACTAGGAGAAATACATGCAAAGATGTGACATCCAGGAAGTACAGAAAAGGTACAAACATAAGCAGCCTACCATGTGTGACAGGAGACAATTCCTTCAAGTCTGCCTTCCCAACAATGCACGTCAGAATTTGAAAGCTATTCTCTAGGATCAATAATCACTTGAGCTATTGGCCATCTTCAGCAGGGATGTTAATTGTTAATTTAGCAATATAGAAATTCAGGTATATTTGCAGTCTCAGTTTCCCAGAGGCTTCTCATACATATGTTTGCCCGCTGTCCTTAGCTAATTAAGAACTGTCATTTCCATGCATATTTTACTTGCAGGTTAGTTAGGAAGGTTAATTATCTACTCTTTTTATTTAGCTTTCCACCCTTAATGAAACAAGACACCAGCTTGTCTGAACCAAAACACAAAACCACCAGGAAGGAAATCCAGACTTAACAATGGGCAGTCTTTTAAGGGGAATGAGGTTTGTTTGGTCTACACAACAGACAGCATTTGCCACTGAAAATTTGTAAGAACTGTAAAACAAAGAGCTACAGAGACATTTCTGGACTTTCCTGCCCTGCATTTTCCTAGCCTTCCCTTCAGTTCATTCTTTGAAAATCAAAGTTTACATACCAGAAAATCGGTATCTCTTCATTTAGATAGTCCTAAGGTTCAATCCATCACAATGACCCCAAGATACATCCGATTCAACCAGATGATCTCCACTCAGGCTGGGTTCCAGGAGTGTTTTCTTCTGCTGTTTGCAAGTCTGTGCTACATGAAGGAGAAAGCTGCCCTGTCTCTGTATTTTTTTAAATATGGAACACTTCACAAATTTGCGTGTCATCCTTGCGCAGGAGCCATACTAATCTTCCCTATATCGTTTAGTATACACAGGATTTTAGTCTATGTGCTGCCGAAAGTGATCACTTTTCTCTGTATTCTAAGAGTCACTTGGGTAGAGCAGATTAAGTGCACTCTAGGATTGGAAAGACTATTCAAAATCTTAACATTAAAGGGCAAGCATTTCCCTCAAAGTTATTCTGTTTCAACATAATGTTGTGAACCTGTTAGAATCAACTGGAATCAAACTTCTAGTCATAATCGGACACTCGTGGTCCAGCCTGGGAAGCCGTATGCATTTGGAAGTAGTCACCACAACTCTTAACTTCACATCCCAGAGGCTTTGAGTAGGGAACAACCTCCTTTAGCAGACATCCGAGTTACATTTGATAATAACGTGGGCGTGTTAAATGGGGTGTTAATAAATAGTAGTATTTTCTTGGAGACTCTTCTGCCTAAGTTGGAGAAATGGCCCTCCATCTAAGGTCATCTATTTCTCTATGTGCATTATACTCAGAGAACAAGCCTGTAACATCAGGAGCCTCAGGAAGGACTACCAAAGAACCATGTGATCTTTCCTCAGGGTTCACGGCTCAGATCCTGGAGTCACCCCATCTATGACATGCTCAGTCCAGGCCACTAGGTTCTCACTGGTAAATGGGTAAGCAAGTGGCTGTTTTCCCAGCTAAAAATGCCAATGAAACTGACCAGTCTGAGTCTGGATCACAGGCTCCAGAATTTTGGCTCACAGGTGGGAGTCTAGACTATCACAACCTGCTAATAACCCTTTACCCCAGACACCCACCATCTAGTCTGCCCTTTTGTATCCTTCTATGCCAATACTCTCTTGGGGCAATATAATCATTTCCCTAGTCAAATGCTATCTTAGCCCCTATCTGGTGTCCTCTCAGAGCCATTATCCTAAGAGACTAGAATCTACATTAAGCAAATTGTATATAAGTACCAATACATAGATGAATACGATTTCTACCCTCTGGTTTTCTCATGGAACAGCCTCACATTCATAAACAATACGTCTATCAAATGTTTCAAGTGGAGGAAACCACATCAAAAGCTGGAGAGGACAGACCACGGTGAGAGGGTTGACACCATAGAAATTGGCGAGTGCTACAGACTGCAGCCTCTAGAACAAAGGCTTGTCAGGGTTAGTGTTCAAGACGTGTGAGCTGTTCATTGAGAAGACAAAGAAAGGAGGTTGGAGAGCAGGCTAAGCAGCTAAGCGCACTAGCTGCTCCATGAGAGGATCCAGGTTCAATTCCCAGCACCCACAAGGCAGCTCACTCTTAGGACCCTCTTCTGGACTGTGAGGCCATAAGGCATGTAAGTGTCCATACATACATGTAAGAAAACATTCAAACACATGACACAAAATGATCCTTTTAAAGAAACAAAAGATAAAGAGGGGGAACTCTAACAAGTTAAAAGATTTCCCCCAATTTCCCTTAACAAAAGCAAAAACAAAGACCATATTTCAGTTACACCAAGAAAACTATTCTTCAATGCTAAGGAAGTTTGAATTAATCATACACCAAACTTCTCTATTGATGGAAAGCTTTAACAATTCATATGTTCTTAGCCAGAATCATCTTGCATGTTCCAGCCCATGACAAGACAAGTGCCTCATAGAAAATACATCATACGATTCTCCTTTCGAATTTGCTCGATGGTCCTGCCAAACTCAAGGACAAGCAAGCTGCACGTTTCTACTGAAGTCTGTAAGTGAGCACGTGTTTGGGAATCAGTTCAAGGACCAAACAGATATTCTGTAATTTAAAAAAGTATCTCAAAGATATTATTTTAAAGAAATGACTGATGGACTTTTTCACCCGTCCACCATGGAAGAAATCAATGGACTAGACTCTCCCGAGTTTCCAGTTTTGACTCTAAAGCAGACGGATGCAGGGGTGAGAGGATCAATCAAACATGACTCCCCTTTCATTTTCACATCTATTGATAGAATTTAAAATCAAGTTACATTTCCTGCAGGTCTCACTGTGGCTTTTCCTTAGGAGGGTGTGGGATGGAGCAAATGGATTTTCACTGTCTTACTGAATGTATTTTACTTTTCAGCATTAGTAGGAGATTAAAGGGGACTAAAGAGGCCCAATTCAAATTACCAAAGATTATAAATACAACAAAGACCCAGAGATATGACAATGTGCTTTGAGAAAGCCTAAGTAGCTCAGAAACATTATTAACAGTGTTCTAAAACTTCCTTTTGCAACCCATCCTCAAAGATTTCATGTTGTAACTCGGGCTCATATCATGCCACAAGACAATTAATGACCACCAGGTTCTGCAAGTGTCTGCCAGTCATCCACACAGAAGAGGCTTGAGGCCTAGCTATACTTCTATAGAAGGTGTTTATTGTCTTCATATTATCCATACAATTCAGAAAAAAAGAAAACTAGTCATCATTAATGCACCAGCCCTACTTCTCCACTACAACCATTGTGAGTTTCTCTTTCCACAAAAAGAGTAACTCTCGGCATAGGGCACAGTTGACCTGATGATTCTTCCAAGAGTTTGGGAATAGGTACAGCTAAGCAAGACATGTGCCTCTCTCAGAAAGAAAAGAAAGGTTTGCTGCATTATGCATTAGGATAAAAACAAAGGAATTGTATTGTCCCAGAGATGAATATGGCCAGGGAAACTGGGAGTCTCAGAAGCAGGTGTATGTAGGCACAGTTCCTATTCACCAAGAGAGAAAATAAAAACACAGGTCTGCCCTTTCCTATCCCTCTACTCATGCCAAAAAAAAAAAAAAAAAAGAAGATGAAAAAAAGAAAGAAAAAAAGAAAACACCCAACGACTTACTGACCATAGATGTGGGAGGCCTTATCAGTGCAGGCTTGTCCTCAGCTGGACTCCTGCATCCTCTAGGACTCAGGAAAATGAAAAGAAACTGAAGGGCTGTCCCTGGAGACGTGTTTACTGAGTCTAATGTCTCAGGGCTCCCGACGAAAAGCAATTCAAGCCTTTTCCAAGTCTGTGTCCCACTGCCTACAGACAAAGGAGAAGAGTTACCCAGCGGCCTGGAGGCTTCTTCTCTCCCCATTGACTGACTAGGGTGGAGAGACAGCTATGAGGACAGACACCTACAGCACCAGGGTCCCATTCTCCCTGCTAGCTTTCTTTTCAGAGTGTTCCCTGTGCAGCCATGTTTGCCCTTGCTCCTTCCCCATCAGAGACTGCGTGCTTGCTTGCTCTCACAGCAGGGCAGGTGCATCTCAGCATGGCGGTGCATCGCACTTCTGCTTTGCGCCTGTCCTTAGACACTACCGAGACTGCCAAGAAATCGTACTTGAGGTCAGTAGCTTGTCTCTTAGCCTCAGAACAGATAGGCTTTGGGGGTGAAGGATCATGGGAGTTGATCTTTTCACTATTTACCGTCTCTTTTATTCTGGAAGAATTGTCCTCCCTGACACACGGTTTTTGAATCTACAAATGAGGGTATGTCTTTACCTATGACTGCAGATTAAACAGGATAATAGATATACGGTCACTGGCACACAAGAAGCTGTAATTCCCAGTGAGCATTAAATACAGTATTAATTACAGCTAACTGACTTTAAGTAAGTCAAGAAGAAGAGCTCACGAGGTCTTAGACAAGGAGATAGCTCCACGCCACTGAGATGAGGGACAAACAGAACAAAGGAAGTCCTGTTCTAAGTCCAAGATCTCTTTGTTTGGCTGAAGGGTTGGGTACAGAGAGAGGGGATTAAACTGCATAGCACATCGGGTGAAGCTGTCCAACAGTTAACAGGAACACGGTCAGCTCTTGACACCGTCCAAGTGGAGGAAGGACGTTTAATGGCATAGCCATGATAGCTAGGAGTGACTTAGCTCATGGCTACACTGTGAGGGACAAACAGATGCGCTCAGCTTGTCTGTTCCCTGTTTCCTTCTTGAAACTATGTTTCCTCCAAGGGAGGCAGAGGCTTACGTCACCTGACTCCCCTCCTCAGTCCACAGAAAACCAGTCTTAGTCCAGTTCAGCCAATGACTGCAAGATAATCCAATAATATGCCCTCTAACAACAGAGCCCATTTGAGTAAGACAGCACTTTGAACTCTTCTGTGATTTTCTATCATTTTATTTATTCATTTATTTTAGACAGAATCTCTTTATGTAGCTCAGGCTGGCTTTGAATTGACAATCTTCCTGCCTCAGACCCTCAAGTGCTAGGATTCTGGTGTGGACCACAATGCTGGGCTTTACTCTTAAGTCTTATGTTCCTAAACCCACAGGCAGTGTAAATGTGCTATTTACTGGGGCCCCACCAAAGAAACCACTTTGTCCTACAGGTATTTATAGATTCTAGAAAACTAATTTTTAAAAAGGCTGGAAAACTCAAACCAAGCTAGCTATATCAAAGTAATACTAATCATACTAACTGGCAGAAAATAACGCCATGAATAAGTCATACTCAATAGGGGTGGAAAAAAATATCATTAGTGTGGGCCATCCTGGTTTTCCGTTGATAACTTCTAGGACTATAACACTAAATGCATTCTAACATGCTTAGGATTCCTTTGATCTACTACAAAAGAACGGTAAATAACTGTTCCGGTGGATATAGCTTAAGACACGTAATTTAACCTTGGTTTTTGTCCCCATCTGAGACCCGTACATACGTGGCTTCCTGCTCTGACCTCAAGGAGGTTCTCACTACTTAATTAATTTCACATGCGCCAAGGGATCCACACCTTCCACCCCGGGAAAGCGGTAAAAATGTGACGTTCAGCAGCAGCAGCAGTTCTCAATGACCCAGAGGGCCTACTTCCAGAAGAAAAAATAAGAATTTAATTGACAGATTTCCATCCCAGGTCCCTCTCCAGGGTGTTGGCATTGAGGTCATGAACTGTGGTACTGCCAGGTTTCCGGCCGCTTTAGATGCAGTTCACACTTGACCTCCACAGCGTGCCTTTCAGGCTATGAAGCCTTCCCACGGCCCAGTCTCAATTGTTCAGTCCTGTCTCTCAGCTGTCCTACACTTATGACTTAATTTGAGAAGCATAAATTGTACCAGTCTTCCTTACTGATCATGTGCCTTTC